TGGTATGTTGATCCCAACGTTTTCCCTTCTGAAATCTGACACGCCTTTTTTTTTTTTTTTTGGCAAAGAAACGAACAGCACCTGGCCCAGACAAGGTCAGACCTCAACACCTGAAGAACTTGCCATCAGTACTCATCAACACACTTGCTCGGCTCTTCACACACTCCCTGTCTGAATGCAAGGTTCCGTCCCATGGAAAACCAGCAGGACTGTACTACCGTACAAGAAAGGAGACATCCACCACATTGACAACTCTCTCCCGATCTGTCTATTGTCTGTCATCTACAAGATGTTCACTCAAGTCATCCTGAATAGGATTTGAGAACACTGGATGAAGGTCAAGCATGCGAGCAAGCGGGTTCCGCAAAGGATTCAGCAAGAATGACCATGTCCACATGATAACCAAGCTCGTTGAGGTTTCTCAGGATTTCAAGATGCTGCTTTGTCTGACGTTCATTGATTTAAAGAAGGCCTTTGATTCTGTTGAGACAGAGGAGGTCATTGAAGCTGTATTCAAACTCAATACATCAGGATCCTCCCTGAACTGTATTATGGATTCACTACCAGGATCTCACCATTCTACAGAGAAGTGATCATCGATGTCAAGAGAGGTGTTGGGAGAAAGATTTGTTTCTGAGTCTCTGGGATCATGGCCGTTAATCAGCTTGATCAGGAACCAGAGAGTCTCTATGGCACAGCCTTAATACAAGACGCATAGAAACCAATCTTGTAATTATCTGGCTCTTTGCAGAAATTCAAAATCATTATATGCCTCTCATAACCTGCTATAGAAAATAAAGTATTTCACAATGACTTTTCAGCAATTCTGATCGTTGGGGGGAAATTCTAAACAATAATGGTGCACCTTTTGGCAAAATAATGAATGTAATCAGTATAGAGAAAAGTTAAGTAGAAATTATCTGCCTCACAGGCATTGGGAGGGGTGGGAGGGGGTATATTGGGGTTCTTCAATCATGATCACTACCATCCTGTTGTTCATCGATTGCCTCAAGCAGGCACCAGTAACGTCTCCTTTGTCCTAGCCCTGAGATTTTTAAAAAGTGCCATATTCAAGGCTCTTTCAGGCTTAGGAGAATGAGACCCACCATTGTTACTGGTATTTGGCATATTGGGTACGCCACGGGGAGTTTGCCAGATTCTGCCATGTGGATAGGTTACATTCAGTAGACTGCCGGTTTGTCCAAAGTAAGAATGAGATAATAAGATGTCGCGCGGCTGCTCCGGGAGCTGGGTTTTGTAGTCCCTGGGTCTTGGCCGTTGATAGGATTACTGATAGGATTACATGGCGTCAGGGAACCAGTTGGTGGGTGTGACCCCTGCCTACTGGAAGATGGAGGATCTGGGTGGAGAATGCTCAGCCCCAATCCGAGCAGGCTTGGAGATCTTAGTCCGGGACCCACATGCCTTTTTTCCTCTGCCGGTACCTTCATGCTTGTTGAGAGTGGTCTCAGCATGGTTCTGGCTGATTCTGGAAGTCTTCAGCTGCTGGAGCTCTGGTTGGAGCAGGGAGAGAAACTCAACCCACTCCCCTCCAAGGGGCCCCGGCGAGGACAGCCAGGCACGGGGGCAGGAGACTCTGTGCTGTTCTCTTCTGGAAACTGGGTTTTATAGTCTCTGAATGTTGGGGTTCTTGGTGGTAAAAAATGAGTACTGGTGAAGGGAAAGGTGTTTGATGATTGTATGACTGAGACTTAAACCCGAAAGCTTTGTAACTTTTCCCACAGTGATTCAATAAATAAATATAAGAAATAAAAAAGGATAGGATTTCAGCATGATGATACCATTTCACCGAAACTCTTCAGTGTCACCCTCGAGAACATCATGTGACGACTGGAATGGGAAGGAATGGGAGTGAAGGTAGATGGTCGGCAACTACACCACCTCTGCTTTGCTGATGACATCATTCTAATAACACCAAACATAATCCAAGAGGCACAAATGCTGGCCGACTTCGGCCGTGAGTGTGGAAAGGTGGGAAAACAGCTCAATCTCACAAAGACAATAATTATGAAAAACTAACTCATCCCTGACATTCCATTCTCCTTCACTGGAATGACCATCTCCTAATGCAACAGCTATGTGTACCTAGGTTGAGAAATCAACATGACGAATGACCTGGCACCTGAGTTGCACAGGAAGAAGAGAGAAGCTTCAAACGCCTTCAAGAGTGTTGAAAAAATAGCTAAGATGATGAAGAACCTCAGGCTCCAGGCACATCTCTTCAATTCCACTGTTCTTCCTGCATTTACATTCACCTCAAAGACCTGGGCCCTACGTAAATAGGATGAGAACGCTCTTTGGGTCTCTCAAAGAGGAATTGGAAGATCTATGCTTGGAGTAGCATTTTTCACTCAAATGAGAGAAAGAATCCTGAGTTTCAACCTCTGTCAATGGTCAAGAATCAGGGACGCTGTCTCATTTGCCAAGGCATCGAAAATCAGATGGGCTGGACACGTAATGAGATTTGGAGACGACTGCTAGACTATTGCCATTAATGACTGGATTCTACAGTCCGTCAAAAGACTTTGTGGCTGCCAACCTATGGGATGGTCAGACTTTTTTGTCAAGACCCTAAATGATCAGTTTGAGGCTCTTCGTGTGCCTAGAATGAGGAGAAACCATTGGGCTACACTAGCACACAACAGGGATGAATGGAGACATTACTGGCCCCCTACTTGAGCAAATCGATGAGTAATGAGATGTCAAGTGATCAAGTGAAGATTTAAATCTAGCACAGTGGTAGGGCGTTTGCCTTGCATGCAGCCAACATGGCTGACCGGAGTTAGATTCCTCCGCCCCTCTCGGAGAGCCCGGCAAGCTACCGAGAGTATCTCGCCCGCACGGCAGAGCCTGGCAAGCCACCCATGATGTATTCGATATGCCAAACACAATAACAACAAAATCTCCAATGGAGACATTACTGGGCCCGCTCGAGCAAATAGAATCCTAGTCACCATTGGGAGATATTACGTATCTAAGATACAATTCTTCTCTACTTGATTTGGAGATTCCTTGCAATTCATACCAAAAACTCAGTATGTATGTTTTAGTGAGAAATGGAATATAAAGTGTATACAAATATATAAAGTTCCTATGGTTTCCACCAATCTGGATAGATAGAGGGAGAAAGAGTTCTGATATAAAATTGAGTCTGATACTATAATCATGAGCACTTCAATTCAGTAGATTACAAACTCCAACACCTGGGGCTGAAGTGATAGCACAGTGGGTAGGGTGTTTGCCTTGCACGTGCCAACCCAGGTTCAATTCCCAGCATCCCATATGTTCCCCCAAGCACCGCCAGAAGTAATTCCTGAATACAAAGGCAGGAGTAATCCCTGTGCATCGCTGGGTGTGACCCTCCCCCCCCGCAAAAAAATTCTCACACCTATATTCTCATCTGATTCCAGAAAAGATAGTGCTAAAATTTGCTGGAAAAATCTTATAGGAGTCAATTAATGATATTAGTATAATAGCTTTTCAGTGAATAAAAGGTAAAGGTAAAGGTAAAGGCCCTCCCGTTGATCGTCGATTTGCTCGAGCGGGCCCAGTAACGTCTCCATTGGAGACTTTGTTGTTACTGTGTCTGGCATATCGAATACTCTCGGTAGCTTGCCGGGCTCTCCGAGAGGGGCGGAGGAATCGAACTCAGGTCGGCCATGTTGGCCGCTTGTAAGGCGAACGCCCTACCCGCTGTGCTATCGCTCCAGCCCAAAGCTACAGGTTCCACCGAGATTTGAACTCGGATCGCTGGATTCAGAATCCAGAGTGCTAACCATTACACCATGGAACCCCACCATAAAATAAACTAAGATTCTACAGCCCACCATCAACATAAACTAACTTCCACATAACAAGCAGAAACTACTAACTTCCACACAACAGGCAGAAACTTCAAATTCTAACCATATAAATAATATTTTAATAAATTTTTGTTGTATTTTATGTACATAAGTCAACTTTTTTATGTTTTCAAACAAGACTATTTGAATGTATTTTTTGGAAAGAGTTGCTTAGTTTTTTCTTGTAAATTGATGTTTGATGGTGTCCTCAGATCATTCAGAAATAGATAGAATAGATATTTTGAGAACTAAGTTAAGGTAAATGTTACATATTTCCCTTAGCTCATTTATGATGGCTTAATTTCCATAATTTTTATTTACTTCATCCCAAAATTTATTTTCTACTTTGAAAGTGAACTTTCAGTACTCATTCTCTTTTCTAATTTTATATGCTGCTAAATACATGTAAGATGCTTTCTATTCTAATATAGTAGCATATTTGTGGAAGTACCTTTTCCTTATTTGTGAGGGATCTGTTCCACTTCTTAGCAAAGGAGTCTTTTAAAGATTATTTTAAATATAATTTTATTTATTCTTTCATTAATTTTGCCATTTAAAACTGGTGTCTCTGAGAATCTCACTGATTATTCCTTAAAACATACCTTCCTTATGAGTGGCAAATAGGTCCACTACATCTGAAATGGTAAAGTAAGGAAGATAATGACGCTTTACAAGGGTGGCATTACGATATGTGAATTAAAGCCAAAAGAAGTTGAAAAGTATTGATGGAAATTCAAACAACCAATGAGTGCTGATTGTCAGAGGGTTCTGATCAGTTTGTAAACATCAAGTAATATCTAAGAGAACAGCAGAACTTATTGAAAATAAGTCTTATATACATATTTTTACATCACGCTCACATAAAAATTGTAAGTCACTAACCTGACTGGTTTTAAATTAGCAAAGCTTCATTTATGTTACTCTCAAACTTCTTAATCTTAATCTGTTGTATTTACAACAGATTACAAAGTTCAGTTTAGGTATTTTTGATACTTTATTACCCAACAGTATATAAACACAACGTTTCCATTCAAATTATTGTGATAATCCTTTTTGATTTACTGAAAATTCCTGATATATTACATTGCGATTGCCCGATAGAACTGAAATTCTCTCCCAACAAAGAATACATAAATGTCATCCACACAGATATGCTTTATTTCCCTTAAAAACCTTTCTGATGGCTGACTTAACGGCTTTATTTCTCAGGCTATAGATCATTGGATTGAACGTTGGTGGAACTACTGTATACATAACAGTGATAAAAATGTCTGACACTGTTGGAGAGTCTGAATGAGATTTTAAGTACTCAAAGGCACCAGTAGAAAGAAATAATAAGACAACAATGAGGTGAGGAATGCAAGTGGAAAAGGCCTTGGCTCTGCCCTCAGCAGATGGCATCCTCAGCACAGAAGAGAATATATGCACGTAGGAGAATGCTATGAAGATGACACAAAGAAATGCCCCCAAAGACAGGAAGACAGAGACACCAACCTCATAGATATAGTCAAGAGTACAGGAGAGTTTCAAGATCTGAGGAATATCACAGAAGAACTGGTGAATGATGCGGGGGCCACATAATTTCATGGAGAAAGTAGCTGCCGTATGCATGGTTCCAGAGATGGCTGCACTGACCCAGACACAGACGACTCCATGGACACAGGTTCTGACATTCATGATGATTTCATAGCGCAGGGGAAGACAGATGGCCACGTAGCGGTCATAGGACATCAGTGTGAGCATGGCCACCTCGGCAGAACAACAGGTAATGAAAGCAAAGCACTGCACTATGCATTCCCAGAGGGTGATATTTCCACTTTGCTTGAAAGAATTGTAAATGAATCTCGGCACAGTCACAGAAATGTAGCAGAGGTCCAGCAAGGAGAGATGCTTCAGGAAGAAATACATGGGGGACTGGAGACTGTCATCCAGGGAAGTTGTGGTGATGATGAGCATGTTGCCAGCTAAAGCCAACACGTATAAGACTAAGAACACAGAAGCATAAAAGATTTCTTGTTCAGGTTTGGCAGAAAATCCCAAGAGAAGAAACCCACTCACATTGAAATTATCCATAGTCCTTGACTTCTTACTGTGCTTGACTGCAAGACAACATGGAATCTTTGAAGAGAAATTGTTTTTGTAACATCAGTCTAAATCATGGAGTTTGGGTAAGAAGTCAGAATCAAAAGTTTTCCTTTAGAAAAGTGAGAGGTTTTGTATCTTACCCATCTCAAACAATTTAGTTACTTTGTCTATAGGAATAGATACTCTTTCTGATAAATCATGCATTCTAGCTTTGTTGGGCTGGAGCGATAGCACAGCGGGTAGGGCGTTCGCCTTACAAGCGGCCAACATGGCCAACCCGAGTTCGATTCCTCCGCCCCTCTCGGAGAGCCCGGCAAGCTACTGAGAGTATTCGATATGCCAGACACAGTAACAACAAAGTCTCCAATGGAGACGTTACTGGGCCCGCTCGAGCAAAATCTAGCTTTGCTATTTCTATTTTTCAAATGATATCAGTATAGGGTCCCCTCGGGCATAGGTTAAAAGGGAGCAAAGTACACGAGTGGGGACATAGTATAAAAGATTTTTAGGTTACATACTTTGGATGATCATGACTTTGTTTTCTTTTTTACATTTTTCACTGGTGATTTTTGGAATTTCTGGGGTTTTTTAGTTTCATTTGTTCTTTTGCTTTTAGACTACTCCTTGTGATGCCTGGGCCACTCCCAGCTCTGTTCTCAGGGGTTGCTGAGAACCAGCTGTGCAGGAGCAGAGCGTGAGATTCCTGCTTGCAGAGCACTGAGAATCTTCCTGCATTTGATTTCTTGCACAAAGCGGTTTCTGAGCACTGCAAAGTGAGCCATGGAGAATTTTTGAGTACTGCCAGACTGAAATCAGTCATCCCCAGCATGACAGGATTCTAGTTTCTCCATTTTGGGGCCCAACTTTGAACTGCAACTGCATTTTTCAATATACTTAAAGGTAGACCAGGGCTCCCCTCAACAATTTTTTGGTTTCTCCTACCCTCATTATACAAAATATATATACATATATGTATATACATATACATGTATACATATATGTCCATATGTAGATATGTGCACATAAAAATAAAACCACCAAGAAAGTATTGGGATCTTGCCTTGCTTATAGAAATGCCAGTTAGTTGTCTGGTATCACATATCCCCTACCCCCCACAAGCACTGTTGGTCCTGAGGTCCCTGAGCACTCCTGGGGACATCTGTGCTCACTGGCATTGGAGGGCCCAGCAGCTCCTCACCCTCAGGCCCTATAATGGAGCAGCTGCCCCTGTGTGTGAGAGTCACTGCGAGAGACTGAGGCCCCTTGAGAACTGTTGGGAACCGCCTTCTGCAAAGTGTTATTCAGCTCAATACAACACTTAGAAATAAACTTCTAAGATCTCTATTCACAATCATCAACTGTCCTATGTACACATTCCTAGGACCACACAGCAGTTCATTTTAGGGGGCTTATAATTTTATCATGCAATAGGGCAAAAATTCCTGATGCTTTTTCTTCTTACTCAATATTTTTCTTGGAATGCCAGTTGCTTGAACTCTTGGTTAGAAACATAAGACCAAACAGCTAAACCAGCCTCAGATGCTGGGGAAACACTGTGATTACCTGGGAGAAAGGGAAGGAAGGTAGAAGGTGAGAATGGAAGGTCAGTCTTAAGGGTGTGAAATTCTCATCCTAGATTCTAGAGTACATAAACCAGTGAACACACAAAATGTCAACAGATAAAAATAAACAAAGAATGTTTTCCTCCAGAAAAACATCTTATTTTGCTATCTGCTTTTATCTGGTGGTAGGTCAGCAGTACTCGGGGGTGACTCTTAACTCTGTGCTCGGAGGTTGATCTCTGCATTTTTTGGGAATTCCCAGTTTCCTGCTGCAAAGTCTGTGCTCAGCCTGCTAAGCTGTCTCTCTCACCCCAGAAAAACACAATTTCAAAACAGAGTGTATTGGTAGGACTTATACTCATATTACAATGTGCTCATAATCCCTGTGGTTAACATAACAAATCATATCAAGTGTCCTGAAAAGCTAATTCCCCAGTCTAAAAGCTAGTAAGAACACCGTGTCCAAAGAGTATTATTCAAAGATAAGAATATCCCTGTAAGAAATTTTAAAATAATTTTTCAAGCTTTCAGGTAAATAGTACATGAGTTATAAATATCATTTTCTCCCAACACGTATGAAGAAGTTGATAAAGATTCATTTCAAATTTATATATTAAATGTTTCTAATTAGTGAGAAAGTCACTGAAGCATACAAATATTACAGTAAAATTTGTGTGTATTTTCACGAAAACAGTCTGTAGTTAGATCAATGTTGAACCTACAGAACACTTAAGGCATAGACTGAGCAGTACTGAAAAATATTATGTTTATTTAAATTTAGTTCTCTAGCAAAATCCATTGAAATCCTAAAATTGATGAAAACTTTCTGATGTGAAAAGATTTCACAAGGCTCAAAAATACTGATCTAAATCATTTTTTTCTGAAATGAAATTGTGACCGTTGTTAGAAAAACGATATATTATATATACCATAGTATCTTAAAATATATAACTAGATAGGAATGGAATGGGTATAGAGCATAAGGAAATAAGAAATAATGCCATTATTTCTTACTGTGAGTGTATGATTATGAATATTGCTAAATTAGCAGGTTGTTTAGGTCTAAGATTGGTGGAGAGGAATTATCCCCATAGAGGTGGTCCCCAGCACAGATCAAAGCTAACCTCTTGGCACATTTGTTCATTCTTTGGGTGATGGTGTTTGAGCATATGTGTGGATGTGCATCTCTGTGTATATTTGAGTGGAAGTGCATCTCTGTGTATATTTGAGTGGAAGGTACCAAATAAAAAGACAGGGCTGGAACGATAGTACAGCGGTTAGGGCGTTTGTCTTGCATGCAGCTGACCCGGTTTCAAATCCCAGCATCTCGCATGGTCCCTGAGCACTTCCAGGAATAATTCCTGAGTGCTAAGCCTGGAGTAACCCTTGTGCATTGCTGATGTGATCCAAAAAGCAAAAAAAAAAAAAACAGTGAATGACAGAAAGTTATCATATTACTCCACAAAGATGTTTCTGGGATGGAAGGATTTACTACTTCCTATATTTTTAAAGTTATGAAACTTTTTGTATCTTAGTTTATAAGTTCCAATAAAGATATGATTGCTCTCAAAATCTCTCTTTTATTTGCACTCCATTTTACAGTATTGCCCTTCTTTCTAGAACCTAAGGAAAATAACCAGGGCACACCTAGAAATTTCTTACCTCATCATAAAGATAAACTGTCAGTCTCAGAAGCTGACACTTATCGGAAGACATATCTCTGCCACTCAGTTCCTTTCATTTAAATTTAGTCTGTGGAAAGTATGACCCAAGTCCATTAAGTCTTTTGGCAATTTGGGATTTGGCATGAAATCGCATTAGTAGCAACAGAGTTCCTGGGTGCTCTGGGTATTGGTAATTCTGTGTAACACCCTGGGGTCCACACTTGTAATTTTGTTGGGTTTTCTTGCAACATATTTTTCTGTTGAAATGGTTTAATGATCTTACCTAGTTACTGGGAGAATAGCTTTATTTGTATTCATTGAATCACAAAATAAATACACTATAAGTTGTGTTTTGATTACAGAATATGCTGTAAGACCAATTAATTTTTAACGAATTTTATTGAGTGGATCACAATTTAATTTATAATTTGATTTTAGGATAATGCCTGAGGTTGCAATTGACTTTATTTAAAAATGTAATAGACCCGTAGTTTACTGCCAATTGAGCAAAGAAGTACCTAGTCTATTTTTAATTTAATATTTTATATTATAGCTTTGTAACGTGGTTATAGTAGTATAAGACTTAAGAGCATTATTGTGCAAAGTTACTACACTTCACCAAAGTATCCAGCAAAGTATCCCAGATCCTCCTCTACTGTCTCTAGGTGACTGGTAATCTGCATTTCCATCTCCATCTCTTCTCTCCGACATTCTAGTAATCTAAGTTCTGTAGTGCAAGGTCTAGGGTTTGTTATTGTTTTATCCTATCCAATATTATCTGATAGGGTATCTTTCTTGGCATATCTTTCCATATACAACGATAAGTGATATTTGTCATTTATCCTCGGACTTATTTCACTTAACATACTTTCCGATTCCATCGATACTGCCTCCAACTGCATTTCATCTTTTCTTATAGCTGCACAGTATTGCATTATCTATAAATAACTTCTGTATCCACAGTCATGGTCCTCCCGTTGTTCATTGATTTGCTGGGGGGGCCCAGTAACGTCCCCATCATGAGACTTGTTGTTACTGTGTTTATTGGCATATCGAGTACGTCACGGGTAGCTTGCCAGGCTCTGCCGTGCGGGCGAGATACTCTCAGTAGCTTGCCAGGCTCTCCGAGAGGGGCGGAGGAATCGAACTCGGGTCGGCCATGTTGGCTGCCTGCAAGGCAAACGCCCTACCGCTGTGCTATCGCTCCAGCCCAACTTCTGTATCCATTCACCTGTTATTGGGCATTCCAAATCTTGGCTACTGTATTATGCATTGCAATGATCACAGTTATGCTTAGTTTTATGTTAATGTTTTTTAGTTTGGGAGGGGGGATGGCCAGAAATTGAGTTCCTGGATCATATTGCAGGTGCATTTCTTCTTTTTTTGAGAAATATTCATAATGCTTTCCATAGACAGTGAAACAGACGACATTCCAAATAACAATGAAAGAGGGGTTCTTTTAACAGCATTGGTCATTCCAAACTTTTGTACATATGTGTTATTCCCACTAGTGTGAGATTTTATCTCACTGTTAAGTTTTATTTATTTATTCATTTACTTCTTTATTGCATTTCCCTGTTTTATGAGAACACAATGAACACTTTTTTAAATGAGTGTGGGTTATCTGTATGTCTTCTTCAGGGAAGTATCTCTTTATCTTTTTTCCCGTTATTGATGGGATTTCTGATATGTTTACTGTTGAGCATTTTGATAGCCTCATATATAATGTATATGAGCCTTTATCTAAATTTTGTGTTCAAATATTTTCTCACAGCCAATAGAGTGTTATTTTAGTTTTAGCCTGTAGGATTGTTTAGCCATGGAAACCATTTTCAATTTGATATAATTCATTTATTTACCTTGACTTTACTTATTTTTGCCAAAATTATCAAATAATTGAAGATCCTCTCGTGGTCCATATTCTGGGGAGCTCTAGCTGGCTTACCTGATCTTCATTTCATATATTTTGGTGTACTAGCATGAAATGGTTTCTTTATCCTCCTGTAATCAGCATAGACTTAGAAATCCTAGCCACAACAATTCGACAAAAATCAATAAATCATAGAGATCCAAATGGGACAAAGACAAAGTGAAATATCACTCTTTAATATGACACAGTACTTTACCTGAAGGAAATTGAAACATGTTATGGAAAGAGAAACAACTTAAAAATTAAATATGTGTAATAAATATGTAATATTACAGCAAGCTTACAACGTGGAGAATATATTGCAGAAGACAAAAAACTCTCATTTAATAATATAATAAATATAAAAATAGAACATCAAATTTTGCCAAAATCAAATTATCCTCTACAGGCTATACTTCCACAGATACCATTTTATAAATGACAAAATTGTCAATAATACGCTTTTACAGGTGGTGAGATGGACCTATTTCATTGTAGGCCTGAGAATAGATTGTTAGCAACTTTGTAAATAATGGTTCTCCCTCAAATAAAAATATAAACTAAAAGCCTGTATTTCTGTGGTTCTGACAGTAGAACCACCATGCCAGTGACACCAAACTTTTTTCTATTCAAATATTTATTCTATATGAATGAATCCATAATATTCCATTAATCACAAGGGGCAATATAAAAGGAATTTGAGATATTTTCAGGAAAGTTCCGCCAGTCTGTTTGTAGCCTAGAAGAAATTGTGTAATGTCAAACATGGAGTTCTGAACAGAAAGTTATCTTAGAACCAGCATGATCTCATGAATTCTTGAACACCATATATTGTACAAACTTCTCTGTAACTAGGAAAATGAACTTTGGATATAATATCTAACTCTTTCAATCATCAGAGCATAGATACAAAATTTAGTTGATGTCTTAAACATAGTGAAATTTGCATTATTTTATATGTGAATGTGTAGGGTAATACTTAAATTATTCAAAAGTCATTTTTCTATAGCAGAAAGTATGATTATTTTAGTTTTCCAGATAGAACATATGCTAAAAAGTTTCACCAACCATAAAACATCACATAAATTTTAATCTATGGGGCTAGTGTGATAGCTTAGCAGGTAGGACATATACCTTGAATACTTCTTGACATTGCATAAGGCTGACAATGATTCGAATTCCCTCAACCCATATGGTCACACTAGACCACCAGGAGTGTTCCCTGAGCACAGAGCCAGGAGTAAGCCCAGAATACCACTACATGTGGACCAAAACACAAAATATTCAATTTACCAAGCAACTCTATAAACATTTTCAATTATATATTGAACTTGCAATCAAATAATGAATGAAGAGAAGTAAGTACTTCTTTTCTTTGAAACACCTTCCTCAGAGCTAACTTTCTGGCTTTGTTTCTCAGGCTAAAGATCACTGGATTGTGAGTCATGGAACGACCATATATGTAATATGAGCAGCAGGCCCAAAGCAGTTGGAAAGTCAGAAGGAGGATTGAAATACTCGAAGGCATCAGTAGAAAAAAAACATATAAGAACAGTGAGGTGAAGGAGGCAAGTGGAAAAGGACTTGGCCCTGCTCTCTACAGATGACATCCTCAGTACAGAAAAGGTGCATGTAGGAGAATCCAATAAATAGGAAACAAAGAAATGACAGCAGAACCACCATGGCAGTGACACCAAACTCACCTAGATACTCATTGGAGCAGGAGAGTCTCAGGAGCTTGGGGATATTACAGAAAAATTGGTGAATGATGCGGGAACCACAGAAGTGGATGGAGAAAGTAGCTGCCACATGAAGGACTCCAGAGATGGCCCCACTGACCCAGATGCTGATGACCCCATAAACACAGGTTCTGATGTCCATGATGACATCATAATGCAGTGGAAAGCAGATGACCACACAGTGATTATAGAACATCACTGTGATCATGGTCATCTCAGCACTGGACTATGCATCCCCAGAGGGAAATATTGCTATTATGTGTAAAAGAATTGCAAATGAATCTTGGGACAGACACAGAAATATAGCAGAGATCCAACAAGGAGAGATGCTTCAGGAAGAAATTCATGGGGGACTGGAGATTGTCATCCAGGGAAGTTGTGGTGATGATGAGCATGTTGCCAGTTAAAGCCAAGAAGTACAGAAAGAGGAACAGAGAAGTATAGTCGGTTTCTAACTCAGGCTTGGCATAAAAACCCATGAGAAGAAACCCGGTCATGGTGAAAATCGTCAGAGTTCTGCTGTTTGTGAAAGACAAGTTAGACTATTATAAATAGATTTTTTTAATGTAGGAATACTGTTATTTATAGATTTTTTGATTGCAGCAATAATGAACTTGTGAAGAAGTTCATTATTACTATGGAGACGTTTTATATAGTTATACCCAGGCTAAGAAATTTAATTTGTCTCTGTGAAAGCAACAAAATAAATGTGAAAATTTCCATTTCAATTTTATAAAAGAAGAAAATGGTCAGCTATATAGTACAGAGGTTAGGTCATACACTTTTTAAGTATCCAACATGCTTTAATGCTTTTGTTTTTGTGTCTTTTTTTTCTGGTTTTGGGTCATCATCTTTGGTTCTCATTTGCCACCCCAGACTCTGTGCTTAAGGCTGCTCTGAGAACCAGGAAGTGCTGTCACCTGTTGATCCTAGCCTCTACATGCAGAGCTGGCCTCAGTCCCCAACTGTCTCTTTGGTCCCTGACACAGGTTCATCCCAGCCCCCTGGGATCTCCTGTAATTGCTAGCTGCATCCCTGGAGGTTCTGTATCCAGAACTGCCAGGCTCGCTCTATTGGGCTTTGGCACCACAGACCCCCGCTACATCGTGACTTCTGGCCATAAGTCTGAACTATAGGCAGGTCTAGACGAGTTTCAACATAACCATTTCCTTTAACATAGAATCTCATATAAATTGAGCTGAAAAGTTTCCCAGTAGAAAATTCCAAAAGAACACACTTTCCCAGCGTATTTTTAAAATATAACATTGCTGAAGTACACTTGAAAAGCAGTTAAGCAAAATACAAGATTTAAATGAAATATAGTTTTACATTCAAAATTATTAGTTTATAAGGAATTCTAAATTAAAATGATAAATGCAGATCATGTAATAAGTAATTACTCACACATGCATGTACTACAGCCCACAATGTGTATGTCCTCTACGAAAGATCAAATTACTTAACAAGTTTTAAAACAGCGTATGTTAAGCCAAGTAAGCTTGTATGCAAATAATATTTTAAATACAGAATACTAAAAACTTAGAATTAGATTTATTTTAAATTAGACATTAGCCAAAGCTATTGATTAATCTTAAAAGAATTAAGTATTATTTACATACAATTTTAGAAGACCGAAAATATAATTACGTTTCTTTTCCATAATGTGGTCATGATCATTATTTGGATTAGGTTGTATTATATATATCTTAGTATTTCAAAAGATGGAACTGTACAGGAGTTGAACTGGAAGATTAAAGGTCATCTGGGAACAAGATACAATGTATTTCTCAAAGTGAGTGTATGCTTATGTTTATAACTGATTAATAGGTTTTTAACTCTGACTGTGGGACACATAAACCTGTTTTGGTCTTGGGATTTTAGTGCTTTAGAGTTAACCCTAAGAATAACCATCAAATAATTGAATTAGAAGTTTAGGTGAGTAACTTTGTGACTTCTCTAGTGTTTGAAATTATTGTATGGGGAGAATATTCATGACTAACATTGGTGAAGAGGTAATGGCCCAGAAGAGGTCATCCCCAGCTTACCTCAAGCCAAATGTCTTTGAACAGCTGTTCTTTCTCAGAGTTATTTGGTTTGTGTGTGTAGGGGTATAGGAGACAAGGGAGTAGGGAAGATTATGTTTCCATATGTATTTGTGTGTGATAGTCATCAAAAAAGAAGGATTTTCTAGGGAGTTGATAATTGTGGTGAATAAGATGTTTCTGCTATGGAAGTAATTTTCAGTTTCATTCCAAGATTCCATTTTTCATTAAAAATAATCTAATTAAATAGTTTCTTTCAAATGTTTCAAGTTGGGAAAATGTCTGGTTTTATTTTACACACTCAAAAAAACTGTCATTATCGGTATTTTGTTCTCCTTATCTACACTATAAGATACAGCTTTTCTTATTTTTCTGGAACCTAAGGAAATCACCAGAACACATTCAGGAATTTCTTCCCTCAACACATGGATCAGCTGCCAGTATCTGCACTTGACACGAGATGAAAGTCCCTGTACCTGTAATTCAGTCCCTTTCAGCAAAATACAATATGTGGAGAAAACAACATTAAGTCCGTTTCAATTCTTTGGTCACTCGAGTGTAGGTCCAAGGTCCCTTTGCCGAGGGAGGGTACCTGGGCAACCTGGGTATTTTCAGTTCCTTGTAAGTAACCTAGAGACAAAATTTGTGATTATATTCACTTTTCTGGCAAACAGGAAGAGCATTTGCCTTGTATGCGGCCGACCAGGGTTTGATTCCTTCCTCCCTCTCAGGAGCACAGAAAACTACCGAGAGTATACAGCCCGCGCTGTAGAGCCTGGCAAGCCACCAGTGTCTTATTCAATATACCAAAAACATTAACAACATATCTCACAATGGAGAAGTTACCGGTGCCCGCTTGAGCAAATCAGTGAACAACAATGCTGTGCAGTGCTATTTCCTTGTTGATTTGATATAATGATCACACAAAGCTATTAAGGTTATTGTTGCATGTTTATTGGATCACATTATAGAAAATCATCATAACTTGTGCTCAAAATTCAGAATATCCAAAACACTTCATTGAACTGAATCTATCTGAATAGAGAATTATTTAATTTATGATTTGATCTAATTTTTTTTAAGGTAAAGGTAAAGGCCCTCCCGTTGATCGTCGATTTGCTCGAGCGGGCCCAGTAACGTCTCCACTGGAGACTTTGTTGTTACTGTGTCTGGCATATCGAATACTCTCGGTAGCTTGCCGGGCTCTCTGAGAGGGGCAGAGGAATCGAACTCGGGTCGGCCATGTTGGCCGCGTGTAAGGCGAACGCCCTACCCGCTGTGCTATCGCTCTAGCCCTTGATCTAATTACAATGTCTAATATAATTACAATGACTATAGTTAAAATGTATAATAGAGTCCTCTTTATTTAAAAAGGGTCCTAGAAGTATGTATTGATCAGAAAAGCAAAAAGTTATACTCCAATATGATGACTTTAAATACCAATTGAAACTCTCTTTGAATAAAAAAGGAAACAATAGCTATAAAAATAATATGTGGATATTTACCCAGTGATTCCATTTTCAATAAAATAATCAAAAACTGTTGAATAATATTAAAATTAACATTGCTTAAAATAAGTTTAGAATTAGGAAAGTAATAAAGTACAAATAATTTGCATTACAATGTAAATTATTTTATTCAAATTATAATATTCAAATAAAATAACTTCTCATATTGATACTATTATCACAACCTAATATTTATCCTGAGTTATATGTTACAGATTTGAATTTTCCATAAGTATTACACAAAATAGACAAAAATGACCAAAAGAAGGACAAAAATTCCTATCTATGAACCAGCTGCCAATAAATACACTTTTCTCAACAAAAAAGTTGAGACAAATTTTTTGTAAAGCTTTTAAATTCATACATGCTTTCGTGTTCCTGATCTTGGAGAGTAAATGTTTTTCAGTAAATAATTAAAGAAAGACCCATTGTATTTACTGGAACTGTTCCTCAGAATATGCAACAAATGGAGCTGGAGCAATAGCACAGCGGGTAGGGCTTTTGCCTTGCATGCGGCCGACCCGGGTTTGATTCCCAGGATCCCATATGGTCCCCTGACCACCGCCAGGGGTAATTCCTGAGCGCAGAGCCAGGAGTAACCCTTGTGCATTGCCGGGTGTGACCCAAAGAGCAAAAAAAAAAAAAAGAATATGCAACAAATGAGACGTTATAGGTGTCTGTGTCATTGTCAACACGAACTTGGCCATGAGCATTGATTCATTCTAATGCCTAACAACCCAAATTGGATAATTACACTTGAATAGATGTGGCTCATTGCCGGCAGTTTCTATCCTCGTTGTCTACACACCAACATCCAATTATGAAGAAGGAGAAATTGAGATGTTCTATATGGAGCTGGAGAAGTTCTATGAAGAAGACCTCACCTTCTACAAGATCATTGTCGGTGATTTTAATGCCAAGATACAGCCGAGAAGATCAGCCGAAGAACTCCACATCAGGACCCATAGCCTAGAATGGAACAAACAGGGTGAGAGACTGTTCGAGTTCATCATGTTGACCAAGACCATCCATGGTCACAGTTCCAGAAGGCCGAATCTAAACGTTGGATATGGGAGTTTCCCAGTGGATGGTTCCACAACAAAATTGACCACCTCATATTCAATCTATGGTTTTGCCTGACTGATTTGCTGTTGTCCCAAAATTCCAAATAGGATCGGACCACCTTCTCTTTTATACAAAATTCTTCTCCACAGAGTGGGGAGAAAGGGCTGCAAAGTTTAAGAAGAGAATTCCCAGAACGACCACTAACTGGGAGCTCTTTGGCACTATTGCGACAACATGGGAAGATGCCATCATTGACAACATTTAAGAGGAATACGATCTACTGGTTCAGCACCTCCATGATTGTGCAAGGAACGCCAAGAGAGAGATAGCCAAAGAGCTAAATTATTCATATTGAAAGAGAGGGGGAAAGGCAAACATGTGGATGTTCTCTTTCTCTCTCACTCTCTCTCTCTCTCTCTCTCTCTCTTTCGGTCTCTCTTTGTTACTGTCTCCGCCTCATCCTTTCCTTCTTCATATCCTTCTGTCTCTCTCCCTTCCTCCCTGGTCTAAACTCAGAGAAATAATTTTATGAATTGTTCTTTTAACTGTATCAATGTAAATTTTAAACAATTGTCCTTAAAACCAGAAATCTG